TATTTGTTGCTCGAGTTAGTGTACCACACCAGAGTGGTTCGTATCCAGGGTCTGAGGATTGCGCTCGTAGTGATGCGGACCAGAAGACGCTGCAGAGGTAGGACCGGACCACGGTAAGCCAAGGAACGAGAAGCGACCATAACAACCAAGTGCGAGAACAAACGTATGCCAGACATATTTGGAACCAGAACATCGACTGAGTGCCTTGACAAGAGCGTGGGTGATCAGGCCAGCTCTCTCCAAAATTGACTGAAATCGACGGTGCCAAATGGGCGATGGTCGGAGGAGTGGGCTAAGGGTACAAAAGAAGTCAAGAAAAAAGCGAAAAGATGTAGCATGCATTCCGTATAGGGAGAGAATCCTATGCCGCATTCGTTGGTGAATGTGCGGTTAGTTGCGAAAGCGTACGGGTAGGTGTATTCGGCTACTGGAACGTGAGACGGTAGTCTCGTCCGTACTTCCTGAGCCTGCAATCTCATCCGAAGTCAAGTGCGGCGTGGTCTGCTGATCTGGACGTGAGACTGAAGTCTCGTCCGTAGATGGTGCAGATGACACGTGCTGTTGACCGGGACGTAAGAATGAGGTCTCAGATGTATCTAGTGTGGGACCTGCAGTAGATCACGCTGGTAGGTTTGATAGGCCTAACATTGGGTCTCAAGTTATCGTGTGGGGCACTGTCATCGACGTGTTCTGGTTTGAGATTATCTATGCTGACGATCTCGACGCGGCCATGTCGATCGACTTTGGAGCTCTTTTCTTGACGAGAAATTAGATAAAAACGTCTTTCGTAAGGCTGTTGCAGAGGTTTGCATACTATGATTTACCAATTTCTTTTCCTCTTTTATTGTTAACATACCTAGGTTCCTGCCTGGAGGATTTGGTGATCCCCTGCTACTAGACACGGAAGCCTGTTAAGCGAAAGCTTCTTCTATTCCGTCCACAACCATTTGAACTGTTTAAAGTTAGCGATGAATCCGTCCAACTAAACTATTTGATGCTGGGTGGTAAGCGGTAGTGCGTATGCGTTCCTTACCAAGCAGCCGTGTCAGTGAGGAGTATGATGCGGACTCGAATTGTTGTCCTCGGCCAGTCGTAACAGTCGAGGGACAACCGTACAGCGCTATCCATCGTACTACTAAGCGGTGAGCGACTGCCTCCGCCGTAATAGACGTAATAAGAGTAGCTTCTGGCCGTCTTATTAAACGATCGATACACGTGAGTATGTGATCATACTCGTGCGATGGTGGCAATGGTCCTACAATGTCTATATGAACGTGATCGAGCGAACGTGCCAATGGGGGCAGCTACTTGTCTGTGTACTTTTGATCTTTGACATTGTAAGCATTGCTTTAACCTCAAATGGACATATTTATTCATGGACGGCCAGAAGTATCGTACGGCGATGGGGCATAACGTAGCTGTGATACCTGGATCAGACAGTCCACACAGGGTACCGAAAACGAGACGACGGTAAGCAGAGGGTACGATGGGTCGGGGTAGACCGGTAGAAATGTCACATAGGATAGTACCTGAGCTAGTGGCTAGGAGTATGGATAGTAATAGGAAGACATGGCATGTAGGCTAAACTTGAATTAATAAATGTTACATTATTAATCACAAGAGGTTATCGAGATTGCATAACACAAAGTGTGTAAATTATCGGGTTGCAGAGAATATTAACGGAAGAAGTTAGAAAACGACAAATAAATACAGGATGTGGAAATTATCATATTCAGCCAAAACGCGCACATGGATGTCACAAACTGCTTCTGGACACTTGGACAACTATAGCTTTTGCCATATGTTGGAAAAAAAGGAACTTATACGTTAGATTACTGGAAAGGATTTTGGTTTCTTCAGAATGTGGCCACAGTGAAACAAGTGCACCTCGATAGAGCTATTCAGTTTTGAACGTTTATGTCGAAGATTTACACAACTAACATTGACACAAACACCGTGACTCATTTTAAGTGCGCAAACCACTACTTCATATATGACATCACAAACAATGGAAGATATTTGAGTAAGATTCATACAATTGTCCTGCAATACATGCAAGAAAATGCTAGCATAGGGTGCGGACCAGGCTTCTCCACTGAACTCTGCTTTCCAGTTGTTCCTAAGTGATATTCACTCTTTTGAAATGTACCTCCTATTCCCACCACAATATGTTCTTCGGTTTACCCCTCCTCCTTTTGCTTTTAGATTCCGTATTACGGCTTGCCTCGAGATGCAGTTTGATCATTTCCACCATATGCCCTATCCATCTCCTGTCGTTTCCGAATTTCCTTTTAAGTAGGAAGGTGGTTTGTTCTCTGCCAGAGTAGGCTATTGTTGATGATGCCTGCCCAATGGACATGAAGGAATTTATGTGATATGATGGAAAGAAAAGTCAATTTTCGATTGATTTACTAATTATGAGTTTTGTTCAAAAATTACTTCCGTTCTGAGTCAATGTGATGATCATTCAGTGTTGTATTTGTTTTTTTTCTCGTATGATATTCTATTCTGTATAATATACGATATTCTTGCATTCAGTTGACTTGAACTATGCTCAGTATGTCACTTATTATAACTAAGCATTTCTCATATATATGATTTTATCCTAATTATTAATAAAAATAGGTGTGAAATCAATATATAAATGAGTGTATTTTAGACTAGGGTCGTCGTCATATTGTTTGGGGGCTAATAAGTCATCACTTTTACCAGTCTTTGTGTTCTTAATTTCGCGTCGTGGGAATTGCAGTGATCAGCATTTTTCCGACACAACAATCAGAGACAACCAGATATAACATTATGTCAACAACTGTTCACAAACACCTGTACCTTTTGATGAGGGTTGTAGTAGTTTTCCAAGTTTTACTTCTGTACAGTAGAACTGTATTGACGTTCATACTGAAAATTACAATTTCGGTGTTGAATGTCAGTTGTTTTGAGTTCCAGTGTTGTATTTGTTTTTTTTTCTCGTATGATATTCTATTCTGTATAATATACGATATTCTTGCATTCAGTTGACTTGAACTATGCTCAGTATGTCACTTATTATAACTAAGCATTTCTCATATATATGATTTTATCCTAATTATTAATAAAAATAGGTGTGAAATCAATATATAAATGAGTGTATTTTAGACTAGGGTCGTCGTCATATTGTTTGGGGGCTAATAAGTCATCACTTTTACCAGTCTTTGTGTTCTTAATTTCGCGTCGTGGGAATTGCAGTGATCAGCATTTTTCCGACACAACAATCAGAGACAACCAGATATAACATTATGTCAACAACTGTTCACAAACACCTGTACCTTTTGATGAGGGTTGTAGTAGTTTTCCAAGTTTTACTTCTGTACAGTAGAACTGTATTGACGTTCATACTGAAAATTACAATTTCGGTGTTGAATGTCAGTTGTTTTGAGTTCCAGTGTTGTATTTGTTTTTTTTTCTCGTATGATATTCTATTCTGTATAATATACGATATTCTTGCATTCAGTTGACTTGAACTATGCTCAGTATGTCACTTATTATAACTAAGCATTTCTCATATATATGATTTTATCCTAATTATTAATAAAAATAGGTGTGAAATCAATATATAAATGAGTGTATTTTAGACTAGGGTCGTCGTCATATTGTTTGGGGGCTAATAAGTCATCACTTTTACCAGTCTTTGTGTTCTTAATTTCGCGTCGTGGGAATTGCAGTGATCAGCATTTTTCCGACACAACAATCAGAGACAACCAGATATAACATTATGTCAACAACTGTTCACAAACACCTGTACCTTTGATGAGGGTTGTAGTAGTTTTCCAAGTTTTACTTCTGTACAGTAGAACTGTATTGACGTTCATACTGAAAATTACAATTTCGGTGTTGAATGTCAGTTGTTTTGAGTTCCAGTGTTGTATTTGTTTTTTTTCTCGTATGATATTCTATTCTGTATAATATACGATATTCTTGCATTCAGTTGACTTGAACTATGCTCAGTATGTCACTTATTATAACTAAGCATTTCTCATATATATGATTTTATCCTAATTATTAATAAAAATAGGTGTGAAATCAATATATAAATGAGTGTATTTTAGACTAGGGTCGTCGTCATATTGTTTGGGGGCTAATAAGTCATCACTTTTACCAGTCTTTGTGTTCTTAATTTCGCGTCGTGGGAATTGCAGTGATCAGCATTTTTCCGACACAACAATCAGAGACAACCAGATATAACATTATGTCAACAACTGTTCACAAACACCTGTACCTTTTGATGAGGGTTGTAGTAGTTTTCCAAGTTTTACTTCTGTACAGTAGAACTGTATTGACGTTCATACTGAAAATTACAATTTCGGTGTTGAATGTCAGTTGTTTTGAGTTCCAGATTTTCTTCAGTTGTAGGAATGCTTTCCTCGTTTTTTGAATCCGTGCCATCACATATGCATCAGAGCCTCTTTGTTTATCAATTATGTTGCTGGGATACGTAACAGCTTCTATCTCTTCCAGAGCCTCTCCATCCTTTTGGTATAACAATACTACTTATGAGTAATTCGGATTTATTTCTTTTCTTGTATTTTATTGACTGTTTTCTTATTTTCACGGCTTAAACCACAGAATGATTTTAGTTAGACAACCACTGTAAATCTAGAAGCACTGAATGTCCGATTCGCCCTAGAACGAAACTCCTTATTACTGAGAGAGCATCCACGACATCTCAACCATGAAACAAAACCACGACATTCGATCTCCAGCATAGACAAGACCATTCATCTAGTTTTAAATCATTTCTAACTGCTTGACACAAATTTTAAAATAACATCGATTATAACACTTTAATTAAATTGAAAAGAATCATACTTATTAAACGAATCAATCATATAAGAAAAGTAAGTTATTTACAAGTTTGTTTGTTTTGTTCACATTGAAAAGAAATTACTTGTCATTGTTCAATACTTAAAGAATATGAAATTTGTATACTTAAATAATGTTCTTCATTAGACCTTAATTACATTTTATTCAGGTAATAATTCATTTAAATTATTTATTGAATTCATTAATTGTTTACTTAATTCATCACATTGTGTTAATAAACATGAAATTTGACTAGTTAATAAAACAATATTCTCAATTTGTTGAGATCCGGATAATTTCGTCGAGTCATTTATTGAATTTGTAATTGAATTAACTTTCTTTGGACTATTGAAAGGACTTTGAAATATTGAATTAATGGAATGTTGATTATTGTTGATGCCTTTCTCACGTGCTTGAAATGTTTCAACAAGTTGTGAAATATCTCGATCAATCTGTTGGAGAAAAAAAAAGTAAAGTAAGGAAAAGAAATTCATACTACAAATTATTTTTTTCGTTTGTATCCATTACAGATTATCATCAACTGGAAGAACATTCTGAACCAAGGAACACTGGACAGCTATATTTTTAGGAGTTTTATTCAGTAGGTCATTCAATCATTAGATTACCCTGTTTTTACAACTTATATCAATTTAGTTTTACGGAGCAACAATCATTCAGAAATATCCACAGTGAAACAATTGTTAATAATATTATGAGATGATCGTTGCCCTCTATTAAAGAGGTATCCATAACTACTTATTATATTTCAGACCAATTTTCTGACAGTCAATAATTTTGAAGAGTTATGAATGGGATTTCATCAATGTATACGAAAAAGACAGCCACGGGTTATAAACTTATTATTACCAGTGATCAATTAATAACCAACATAAGTAAATTTTGAAATCTTTATTTGAATAAATTACCCAATATGATTGAATAGTTGGTAAATTCAGTTTAGATATATAACGAATCTTAAGGTCAAACGATAGATGAATGATTGTACACACGGTACACAACTAAAGGATACTGATTATGAACTTAGTCAAAGTTTTGGTTTGCAAGACAAGAAAGACAAATGTACGCATACCCATGGTTTGTGTATATCTTATTCAGGTAGCCAAAAGAAGCCTGTTGATTATTTATTTGCCTTTTCGTTTGGATATCGAATTGAAGTAAGCATACAGAAAGTGCATGCATATGTATCTGAACCGGACGACAGTAAAACATAGAGCTAATGCAGTATCAAAAACATCAATCGTAAACATATTAACAATGTGAAAAACAATAAAAGAACTAACGTAGTGGAAAATAATAGAAAGGAAGTATGTATACTCACTTTATTTTCTATAATGATCAGATCAGATTGTTTTTGTGACAACTCAGTAGTATATTTATGCAAATATTGCTCATAGACTGATGACATTCTCACCAACTGTTTCGTAAGAAAAACAAAAGAGAAAAGACTAAAAGAGTAAAGAATAAAAAAGCGAGAAAATAATCAAAAGTACGTTGGCTACAATCAACTTAAAACGTTAAGGGATATCGTGTTGTGTAAACAAGTTACAAAAAGGTAGATAGTGAAAAGAATTAAAAATGAATAGCGAGGATAATTGTTTACCAGTTGTTCATCGCAAAATATAAAGGTCTTACTTAATTCAATTTGCAAACATTTGGATTGTTTTGTTATCGACTGTAAACTGAATTAAAATTTGTAGTTCTTGCATACGTGAATGACTTTCTGAAATCAGTAGTCAAGAGGATATGTCCAGCGTTTAAAATGAAAGGTACTGTATCTGGATTCCAGAGTGAACAACAACTTTGGAATGCAGGTACATCCGGGTGATGAGTTCTGAATAAAACGAAATGTCTGTCCTGAATTTCACTGCTAAGTATGTTACATCTATTCTGCAAAGTTCTTACGACTGGTTGTATGTAACAGTATGAGTGCGTTCTGTTGAGAATTCCCAAATAAAAATGAGACAACACCATAGAGATATTTAGTAATCAATCCATAAGTTCCCGACTGTATTAGTTAGTGAAAAAGCAGCAATTTCAAAATTAATGGTATGTTTAAAATTCATCAAGATCGGAAATATATTCCAAACTATAGGATTATTTTCATCTTTTAATTGGTGCATACGCAACAGTTTGAAGAAGTGATCAACTTGTCAGTTAGTCATACGTAACGTACAGCGTGGTACATTTATGCATCGCCTCAGGTTGCCCCACATTTCATCGGCATAACGAGATGTTAGATTAATAATGATAGTAAGAACTAAGCACAGACAATAAAATTCAAGAAGAATGAATTTGTGAAATAAAAAATATAAGATCATTTTGAAACTTCAGATTTAAAAGGAGACGGAGAATGAACGCAACTGTCGAATTTTGATCGGTTCCCATTCATTTCACCTAACATCCCCAAACACTGACTACGACAAGTATGTGGACCGCAATAAGGTAGTCTGCAACTACGAGGATGCCTCAGTTCAACAACCACTTGGTGGACTGACCTCATGTTTTAATTTCACAGCCTCCAGTTTTCTGTTAGCTTACTCCTACACTATGCATCACCCTTTAAGGTAGACGGTAGTTAGCCATACATAATACATATTCCAACCACATCAATCAATGACGGTTCAGAACCACACTAACTAATTTTTCATTTTCACCATGTACCCTATACCCAACCTCAATATTGCTAACTCGATCGTTTTAATATGTGCGTAACTGTTCAAGAGCATCCGCGAACAAATAATAATAACTTACAGGTATACTGTACAGCACAATTAACTATTGTGTAGTATACTCTTCCCTTGGTTGACAGATAAGTATTTCACTAGCCCCATAAGTGAAGCTGGTTGGCAAAAACCCATCGAACTTTCTGAATCCTTGGGGAGATTTCATCAGGCACTAAACCCACTAAGACTGATGAAACTCCTAAGATAATTGAAATGGTCGATGTGCTAGACCACTTCACTTCCTATCATTAGTTTAGGCGTTGACACAAACTAGACTCAATACTTTGTTAGTCTTTACAAAACATTTGATTATATGTGTATCAGCGATTACTGAAATCATTTTTCCATTTGCAACTGACTGTATTCAACGAGATTCATAATTTATTTCGTCCAGTTCGTACTTTCGACAAAATTCTAGCAAATCAAAGTATAGAATACGACCAATAAACTCAAGTATATTGACGTGATATTTTTTATCTGCCTAGCCACATATTTTTGTGTTTGTTTGCACTGAGAGCTGACCGTTACTGCTGGGTATTATTGCCTTAAACGGAAGTCTTTTAATCTAAGCTAATTATTATTCATTATTAAACCATCAACTATTCTTATATTTAAGTGGAGTTTTGTTCTCTGGGTTGGATGGTTCGGTCGTGGAGCTTTCATTGTAGAAATGAAGTGTTCGAAATTCTCTACATATGACTCACAGCTTGTCCTGTAGACCTTGATTTTGATTGGTTATTGTTGACTCTTAACCTGCCATTGTCTTCCACTTTATTTTGATTGTATCTCCCATTGATTTGATTCTTCATTCCATATTTGTTCATGGTTTTTCTGATTGGTTGACAGAGTGGATTGATATCAATGCGTTTGTTGATTGCTGATTGACCTGAGTGCCAAGCCTCTATCCAAGATCTCAACATTTGCCAGTCGAATGTGTCCACATGGATTAATATAAGTGAAGATATGTCATGGCGTTTGACAGCTGATATTCGTGCAGGCGAATATGAAGGTAGTATCCACTTTTTTCTGTAGTGTTTTTCGCAGTTGTCTCTATTTATTTTGTAGATAGGAGATGCAATCAAAATGAAGTGGAAGACAATGGCAGGTTAAGGGTCAGTGATAATTAATCAAAATCAAGGTCTACAGGACAAGCTGTGAGTCATATGTAGAGAAATTCGAACACTTCACTTCTACTTGAAGTTTGTGCTGATGATATTGTTCAGAAGAACAATTAAAGCTCCACGAGCAAACCATCCAGCCCAGAAAAAAGTCTACGTAAATCACCAACTTCAGCTACAAATCTCCATTGTTCATAAATATTCAAATGGAAATGTTACATAGAACTAAGACGATTGTATTTTATTTCAATCAAACCCAGTAAGTCTAAAACAATCTTTCTACTTAGCAAGTCGTAGAACCAACATCAACCATACCTAAGTGAAGATGAAATTCATTCATAGACCAATATTAAATTATATGTTTGCACATTTATAACAATTATTTTCAATAAATTCATAAATATTTCTCTATAATCGATAATTGACAGATTACCGCTTCGAACTCTGGAACATGTGGAATAAATTGTCTCTTTTTAAATGCTGTTGACGTTGACGACGATAATGATGGAATCGATTGAGAAGTTGATGCATATGGTTGATTCTCTATTGTTGCTGCCATTGATGAATGATATTGTACTTTCATAGTAGACGAAATTGGTTCAAATCTAGAAATCCATTGAAGTTTTTTTAATATAACTCGACCTAATTCTGTATGATTGTTGCAACCATCTCTACTGCCACTTAAATCATAATGACTTGAAGTATGACGACCACGATTGACAGTTAGTATACCGGCATCAGCTTGTTTACGATTAGTCGTTGAGGATAACTTGTCGAATGAGGAGTAATTTAACGATTAGTCGAAGAAGATCTTTGACATATATCTAAACCCAGCTCAGTTGATGAAGCAAAAGTATCTTTTGGTAGACTAGATACAGAATTTCGTTGTTGGTGTTTTTGCTTAGAAGGACTTTGAAAGCTACCATAATTGCGACTATTGTTGGTGTTGTTCAAATACGAGGTACTAGCAAGTCCCGATAATGATGAACGACGCCAATCATATCGAGGCGAAGAAGGAAGAGATGAAGAATGACCTAAGGACAACAGATCAGTACATCCATAAAAGGAATTACATTCAAAGTGAAATAAGATCTAGTTAGTTGGCTATAATAAACAATATATAAATTGAGATAGATGTGTATCAGTCCAAATTGCTTTATTTCAATACAACATAGCAAGGACGGAATTTAACAGGATGAGAGGTAAGTGAACGAGTCAAAACAACAAAATGTCAATAGAAAGAAACATAAAGGAATAAGCGCTTAGCTCGATTGGGTCATTTCGACATGCAATTCCGATAACCACGTTCAGGTAGAAGCTACGGCTACTACCAATCTATTATTCTTTCTCTGTATTCAAATGTCAAGATGTTACTCACAAGATAGTTGAATATGGCTATATACCTGATATACATTGAAGCATCTGTAGTGAATACACAATTTAAATTGGCTATTTATGTTCGTAGATGATAAATTTCAGATCGTCTAACCAATTAATTCGTTTTTTTCATAGAAACATATTTGAATTTGCAATTTCATTTAGGTTTTTTAGTTAGTTTGAATTAAATAGAAAACCATTGACATCGAACAGAAAGAGACGGTTATCTTTGAATTCACACTTTTGAAAGACTTTAAATCATTACTGGTCAGTAAATTCATGTTTATTTCATAATGAAGGAGTATTATGACTGAAGCTAGCCCCACAGAGTCGTCCTAGAGTAATATATATACGTATATCCACTTGAAAAATGGTCATTTGAAAAATATGTATTATATTACGTTATAAAAGGAAAAACCAGGATAACAGATCGAGTTAGAGAGATTCTAATAAGTTACAGTTTATTTAGAGCAATCATACTTACCAGATCTTTTTGTTGACTGGGAAGAATTTAGCTGAGAATCTCTTGTAAAATTATGCGACTTCTGCTGACTAACACTTTGTCCTGCACCCATTCAGTTCGGCATTAGGACGAAAATAGTTTTAGAGTCTACAAAATGAATAGAGATAATAGATTATAGTGTTTGCCATGCAATTACAGTCTGTGATAGCCTAGGGATAGAGAGAGAAATTAAGACAAATAGTAACCGCACTTTCACATCAGAGGAAAATTAAACGCCACTGTGATCTACAGAATCATCAGAACTACTTTTTTTAGTCCAAAGTCCCTGAGAAATATATTTCACAAAGATATTCGACATGAAGGTAAAAAAAAGAATCAGTTTAAAAAAACCTACACTCTGACGTTTTAAAAGTACTCAACTTCAATGTTCTTTAATTATCCAAACAGGTTGGTTTATATTTTGAGTACACTCGTATAACGGTTGAATTAAATGAATAAAATTTAGTGAATGAACTTTCTCAACTCTAATGGGAATTAGGTCTAATAAACTGATTGATAAATGATGAACAGAATAGATTGTCATTTATTAACAAGATTAAATTTTAGTCTACTAACCACATACCATTGAAACAACTTAAGGTTCTTGAGGACTGGATCAAAAACATATTGATTGTTTAAGGAAATCAAACATCCTTACATTATAACATTATTATTGTGTTCAACTGAAAGACTGATAATTCGATTTTTTAAATCATCCATATGAATGATTTTAGCATATCGCTATTTTCTAGACTGAATATATTAATTCAGTCAGTCAGCTACAACGTAGGACCAGGCACATATATGCATCGGTCCAAGTGGCCATACCTCATTAACACAACAAGATGAACACCGGGTTCATAAAAGTAGTTAATTCAGAGGTGGTGATATACAAAAGAAAGATTGCATATAAAGACAAAGCACAGGAAGAAAGAATTAGTTCGTAGAAAGAAAGATAAGAAGCGATTTTAATCTCTTAGTTTAAGGGAAGACAGAGAGTGTATACACCGACGCCATTGTGACCGATTCTGAGCCATGTCACCAAGAGTCTCCAACCGTTGGTTACGATAGTCACGCGGACCCCAACCAAGTAGTCTGCATATCCTATATTATATTATATTGATTGCAGTTGATAACTTTCAAGTAAGTCTATACGAGAAAATTCTGAGGAAGAAAAATTTGTCGTCTATTAAAAATGATTCTTTGAATAACTTCGACGCAAACTAATTTAAGACAGCAACGTTTCAAGTGTATGTTGTCCATTATGCAAAAAACAGATTCCTCATTTTCGTGACTACTTTTAACGACCTCCATATATATATATATATATATATATATATATATATATATAAATTCCTGTTCAATCTTACAAAAAGTACCGGTAGTACACAAGATCGGTAGTGGCTTTAAAAATCTCTTTTGATTGCTATTTATGATTCATTTAACCTTATAAATAAGGTATAACATCACAACATTCAGTGAATCTGTCAATAAATAGAAAATTACATTTTTTATACGGAACAAAATGACAAAATGTGCTTTGATGCAGAATTCTTGTTTAAACATTAAAAACACGAAATTCAGCGAAGGGATCTTATTTTTCAACGAATTTATTACGAAGCTGTACAATCATATATATATAAGTACCGCGACGACATATGAACAAAAAATAAGCATGATGACGTAATAGAAAGATTATAATACTAGGTTACGTAACATGAATAACAACAATAAAATATTATGTGTGTGCAAATAGAAGGCCATGTAGAATTAATAAGTTAGCAACGAATTATTATGTGCATAAAGTAAGATGATTACAATGTTTTTTTAGTATCAGAAGAGGTTTTGTGGAGATTGTAGTAATTTCAACAGTTGAGATCATGAGTCAATTGAAGCTAGACCACCATGGGAAACCTGGAAACAGTGGACGGCCATTTTGTCCCACTGCACGACTCCTCAGCAGTGCGCATCCACGACCCTGTCTCGCAAGGTTCGAACCCAGGACCTATCGGTCTCGCGCCAGGCGCTTAATCAATTAGACCACTGAGCCGGCGTCCAACGGTGTTAATGCCTAACTTCAACTAATCCACGAAATTGAGCGACACATCCATCATTGTCATTAATGAGTTCCTACCTCACAACTGACCCAGTTGAACACTACTGGTCACTGGATGCGCACTGCTGAAAGGTCCAACAATAGGACGAAACGGCCGTCCAGTGCTTTCAGGTTTTCCATCGTGGTCTAGCTTCAATTGACTCATGATCTCAACTGTTGAAATTACAATGTTTTTGTTACAATAATTAGAGATGATAAAAGTGCATAATAAAATGAAATAATATCAGAAACATTTATGAATAAAATCATAAAGATATGAGACAGAATTAAAGAGAGGAATATATTTTCAAATACGAAATATAACAATAATAATAATAGTTTAAGGCCAAGGTAATGATAAGGATATGACGTACTTCTTTGGTACACACAGTTTCAGCTTCAACTCATGGATAGCAATAGTTTCTTTTGTTTTAAGGAGTTGGGTACGAAGAAATCTAGGTACTTTTGCACGGATTGTGTAAACAACCTTGCAATCAACCTGTGGATCAGTGGAGTGATTAGAGTCTATTAAATTTTCAAGAATAGAACTCTTAACTGCTTTTATCTGACCGTTGTAGAACCATACTGGGATATTTCCTCATATTCAAGTTGAAAGCAAGCGTTTGCTATGGCCTATGAACCTTGCTCCACAAGAGTAAGTGGACTGGTAAATGCAAATAGAGGCGACCAGACGATAAAGCTGATTCCTTTACGGATCCAAAATACAAGTTCCTACTAGAGAACATTAGTAATATAACAATAGTATAAGATTTAAAAAATGAATAATGGTTCAAAAAAGCTCACCAATATTATTTTAAAAGAACCGTTTGGTGAAAATCAATCATTTTGAACATATATAGCTTATTAGTATTCAAAAACATTTATTTTAAAGAACTTCAATGACAGAATTTCAACGTTGATTTTGGTTAATCCCCTAAAGGAAACTAAAACCAGTTTAAAATCAGAGATGGGGTTTTGTGGATATTATAGTAATTTAACGGTTGAGTTCATGAGTCAATTGAAGCTAGACCACCATGGAAAACCTAGAAGCACTGGACGGCCGTTTCGTCTTAATATGGGACTCCTCAGCACTAGTAACTATCTCCAAGAGGCATGTCCTGGAGTTTTCGTGAGAAGCCATGACCAGTGGAGTTCAGTCGGGTCTGCTGTGAAATAGTAACTCATTGAAGACAATGGTGGACGGTGGCGCAACTTCGTAGATTGTTTGAAGTTAGACATTAACACCGTTGGATGCCTGTCGGCCCAGTAGTCTAGAGATTAAGCGTACGTGTACGAGGCCGACAGGTCTTTGTTTTGAATCCCGGGAGCGGGGCAGTGGATGCGCACTGCTGAGGAGTCCAGTGCTTCTAGGTTTCCCATGGTGGTCTAGCTTTAATTGACCCATAAATTTAACCATTAAAACCAGTTTGTCAAGTAAAACGTTGAAATCATTTAAATTTTATTCGATAAGATCATTTCAAATATAATTTTACTTTCAATCTAATTTCTATTGAGCTATTTACTTAAATTTTGACAAATGTTTATGTGAAATATATAGCTTATCATGTTTCCTCATCGTTATATATGATAATTCTAAGCAAATACAAGAATTCATAACATTCAATTCACTTATTATCATAATTATATTCTCTTAATGTTATTGACAGTTTATCTTCATTTTTTGTGTGTACAGTAAACATTTAGTTATTTCACAGGTTGAAATCATGAGTCAATTGAAGCTAAACCACCATGGAAAACCTTGAACCACTGAACGGCCGTTTCATCCTAGTATGGGACTCCTCAGCAGTGTGCATCCACGATCTCGCACCCCGCGGGATTCGAACCCAGGACCTACAGGTTTCGCACGCGAGCACTTTACCACTAGACCAGTGAGCGGCATCCAACGGTGTTAATGTATGTACAGTTCTCTCATTTCGATATATTTCATGTGATTGCTGAATTTGATATAGTTAATGAATATTAATTAATTTATCATAATTTTGATAATTATTCTTATATAAAACACTGTTTCTTCGATCGTACTTCACAAATGTAAACTCATTGTGTAACAATCAACTGAAAGAAGACTTCTGAAATCTTAATTAAGCATCTCAACTACTTATAGTTAATAAGATGCCTTGTAGCACACATATAACACTGGAATTTAAGTCATGCTATAAGAAAAGTAATCGGTGGAAATTCTATTTAGTGAACAGTTTAAAGATCAATGTATATACTGCATAAAATTGGAAGTTTGAAGATTTCAAGCCAAGGGAAGTTATAGAAATGTCAGACGGATTTTTCGCACAATAGGGAAACGTATATATTCAATGAGCTGGAAAGGATTGCCCAGGAGAGGGTTGGATGGAGAATGTTGGTGAGCGGCCTATGCTCCTCCATGAGGAGTAACAGGCGTACGTAAGTAAGTATATATTCAATGGTTCCTAATGTTTAATATAATGATATCCACTTATTACGAGAATCATTTCATCATTCATTATAACTCCAATTGATCACTTTGAACTGACAGATAACAAATATTATTTATCAACCGAGAATAGAATAGTTTGAATGTTGTGTTGTTGTTGTTCAGTAGAGCACTTTCAAGACCTTAAACATCGTCGAATATAAAACTTTCCGACATCTTGGAGAGCACAATGCATTAAAACCACTAAGTTCACAATCCAAAATTGTAAATATTTCTAAATCCAGTTGACTTGTAATACAGATCCGCCGTTATCCAAATAACATAGGTGATATTTGGATTACTGTTATATTCCATTTAATTACACTTTCTCACTAGAAATCCTGGAATCCTTGTTTGTAATGGGAACTGACTCCAATAAAAACAGTATTCACAAGCATTTTACTTTGAAGAAATAATAATTTATAGGACATTTATATTGCACACTAACCTCAATCGGAATACCACCGAAAGCCAGGAAGTTATAGGCGGCTATTTTGGCTTAGTATGGGATCTAAACCGTTGGATTCGACTCCTAATGAGGTCATAGGTGCATACTGCTAATGAATCCCATGCTAGAAGAAAACAGTTACCCAGTGCTCCATGGTTCCAATAATACATCAACTCAGATCAATCTATGGCAAATACAACCTAAAAATTAAATCAACCTCCACAAAATCCCTCCAATGATAAAAAATAACTAATCAATACAGACAAACAAAAATTGCTCATTTTACTTGACGGAAAAAACCTGAAGTGCTTTTGTAATCAATTTATTATACACAACTTGTTTAACCCACTATACACTACAAACATGTTAGGAATTATAAAAATTAGGAACAAAATAAGAGACCAAAAACGAGAATGAAGAAAAGAATACCCCAATAATAGGATGGGAGACGATAAAGAAACCAGTTTTTACTCAATAGTTACTGAGGTAACAAAATAATCAAGAGCAAGTTATTTGAAGGACAGGTAGAAAGACGGTAGGACAGAGCATATATATATATATATATATATATATATATATATATATATATATATATATATATGTTTGAATTGTTCAAGTGTAGGAAAAGGGGAAAACCGATTGGTATCACAAATGAATCACATTTTCTGATGTTACCTGTTAAATACAACAGATCTCAGTCCAATTGCCGATGAGAAATAATAAGTCGTGACACATCACGAGCACAAAAATATGTACGACATGTTGGACAAGGTACACGTC